CACACTGGAAACTAGATCCAGCCTGTCCACCAAATGCTTCAGAACATCAATAATTAATCAGTGAACAGCTATTGGCCCCAGGGGTCATAAAGCTAAGAAAGAGAGAGAGAGATGGAGACGGACAAAGAAAGCAGGAGGAGGGAAGAAATGGAGGAGTTGTGATTTTGTTTAATAAGTAACACAACGCTGGCTTTGTTCTTCTCTCTTCCATCAGAAAACACACACACTTCTTATCCATATAATTTAGCTCTGTCTCTCCTCCCTCTGCATGGTGTCTTAAGGTCACTAAAGGGTCGGATCATCAGAATAAGAGCTACAAGAAACTGGATGTATGAGCAAATACTTATTATACCTGTAGATGTGGTTTTAGTTGCCCTGGGATTTTATTGTGATTGCCTATGACTTTGTTTTTCTGTTCCTACTCAAATATAATGTACAATAAATAATTGTGGTTTGTGGTGAATTCCTCAGGCTCAAAACGTTTTTTTTTTTGTAAAGACCAATATTTAGTTTTACAATTGAAGGTAAACCTCTGCTTTTTAGGAGTAAAATCTATTCTAATCCTGTCCCCACGTGTTATAGATATTTGTGGCATGTTTGGAAAGCTGATGTTTAAATATGATGAAAATATTTAGCAAAAACATGATTTTTCTTTAAAATTTAGATTTGTATTAACATGATTTTAACAAGTCTCATTGCAGAGTTGTTTTCTTTATCATTGCTTGAATAATATTCATCAATAAATGTCATAACATTTTACAAAAAGAGATCATTATTAAGATTTTATTATTGGCGGCATGGTGGCACAGATGGTAGAGCTGTTGCTTCTCAGCGAGAAAGTTGCCTGATCGAATCCTGGCTGGGGAACTTTTCTAGGTGGAATTTACACGTTCTCTCCGTGCATTCATTCATTCAACCTTTATTTCTGCAAGTTAATCCCACTGAGCCTCAGGGGCTCATTTACAAGACAGACCCTATTCAACAAAGTGATGACAACAGTGGACAATCATAAATGATACGTACAAAGTGAGTCAGAGTTTCTTTATTGTTGTTCCACCACATGTGGTACGTGTGGTGGAACAACATTGTGTTCACAGGGTCCCAGTTACATCCAACAATAAAATGTAAAAGAAAAACAGTGATAACATCTAAGATATGAACTAAGAAAAACATCAACTAAATATACACTAAGCACTCATAACATAAAAACATGACGTCGAACAGCAGCATGAACATGAGTCTGTGTGAGCAGATGAGCACGAATGAACACATCAACATGAAACAGATCAACAGCAATGTGAAACAGATCAGCAGCAACATGAAACAGATCAGCAACAACATGAAACAGATCAGCAGCAACATGAAACAAATCAGCAGCAACATGAAACAGATCAGCAACAACATGGAACAGATCAGCAGCAACATGAAACAGATCAGCAGCAACATGAAACAGATCAGCAACAACATGGAACAGATCAGCAACAACATGAAACAGATCAGCAACATGAAACAGATCAGCAGCAACATGAAACAGATCAGCAACAACATGGAACAGATCAGCAACAACATGAAACAGATCAGCAGCAACATGAAACAGATCAGCAGCAACATTGAAACAGATCAGCAGCAACATGAAACAGATCAGCAGCAACATTGAAACAGATCAGCAGCAACATTGAAACAGATCAGCAGCAACATGATGTGATTTTTTCACAGTGATTATTCTGGTTAGAGATTCATGAGTCTAACAGCCTCAGGGTAGAAGCTGTTCCTCAGTCTAGTGGTTCTACACTTAATGCTCCTCAACCTCCTTCCTGAGTGGAGCGGGGCAAAAAGTGTGTGTGCTGGGTGAGTGTGGTCCTTCATGATGCAGGTGGCCCTCTTCCTGCATCTGGAGGTGTAGATGTCTGTGACGGTGGAGACTGACTCCAACATCTTCTGTGCAGCCTTCACCACTCTCTGCAAAGCTTTTCTTTCTGCAGCTGTGCAGCCTCCATGCCACACGTTGATGCTGGAGCACAGGATGCTCTCCACTGCACACCTGTAGAAGGAGGTGAGGACTGAGCTTCCAGACCAGCTCGCCTCAGCCGTCTGAGGAAGTAGAGTCTCTGATGAGCTTTCTTGATCAGGCTGGTGGTGTTGTTGCTCCAGCTGAGGTTGTTGTTCAGGTGCACACCCAAGTACTTGTAGCTGGAGACCACTTCCACTGCAGATCCTCTTATGTTCGGGGAGTCGGGCTGGGTTGGTGTTTTTGTTCCTTCTGAAGTCCACAATCATCCCCTTTGTCTTCTTCATATTGTTTTCAAGGTTATTATTTTTGCACCAGCTCTCCAGGTGTTCCACCTCCTGCCTGTAGCTGGACTCATTGTGATGCATCCCACCATCGATTTGTCATCTGCAAACTTTACAATGTGACTGCCTTGATAGGTAGCTGCACAATCATACGTGAGCAGAGTAAACAGGAGGGGGCTCAGCACACATCCCTGAGTGGAGCCAGTGTTGAGGGTTATGGTTGAGAAGTTGTGGATCCTCACTGGCTGCAATCTGTTTGTTAAAGGGATCCATAATTAGTTTTAACAATAGAGTTTGAGAAATATTTATATGAGATGTAAAAACAATACAGTAATTATATTGTAGGCTGTTTAGTTTTTATAAATTTAAATAATATATTGTCACACAGACGTTGCCATGTTTACGCTGCAATGCATTCTAGGTAAATGATGTATGCTAGGTCCTGTAGTGCTAGCTCCGTCCACCCAAAACAGCTATGAGTAACGTTACTCTTTTTCAGTTTGAACTGGAACTCGTTGAAATTTATGTCAATGTAGAACTCACAAGGGGCAATGAAGAACGGGTTAATCATCTTGATTTTCCAGTGACCTGGCTGTGGTCCATTTTTATTGGATAAATTACATCCTCTGACCACTGTACTGCTGCATCTGATGTGCTGAGAACAGTTTGTATTTCAGCATTTGACGTTGAAGACAACTGTAATAAACATTATTGTATTTAATATACATACAACATTGCATCTTAAAATTGTGAAATAATATTAACAATAATAATACATTAAACATGAAGCTGGAGTTAGCTTCCGATTGCAACACATTTAAAACAGTAACTGTTATCAAAGTGCTTACCAAAAAAGACCACAGCATCAAATATTAATAACAACATATTACAGCAACATGAATAAAAGCATAAAAAACATGAAATATAATGAGAAACAATGAAATACTAAATCAAATCACCCTGTGTTAAATGTCAGGGAGTAAAAGCAAAATGGATGAACACAATCATCAACAACGAAATACCAAATGAGATCACACTGTGTTAAATGCCAATGAGTACAGATGTGTCAGTGAGTACAGATGTGTCAGTGAGTACAGATGTGTCAGTGAGTACAGATGTGTTTTGAGGAGAGATTTAAAAATAGAGACTGAGGTGGCCTGTCGAATGTTGATGGGCAGATTATTCCAGAGTTTAGGGCCCACGACTGAAAACGCCCGATCTCCTCTGAGCTTCAGCTGGTTTTTGGTACGGCCAAAAGCAGCTGGTTTGATGATCTCAAGGCCTGAGAAGGAGTATAAGGATGAAGGAGGTCGGAGAGGTATGAGGGTGCAAGGCCATTAACACACTTAAATGTCAGCAGAAGAATCTTAAAATCAACTCTGACACGCACAGGAAGCCAGTGAAGGGAGGACAGAACTGGAGTAATGTGCTAAAACCTGTGAGTTCCTGTTAGTAGCCGAGCTGCAGCATTTTGGACAAGCTGGAGACGTGAGAGAGAGACCTGACTGACCCCAGCATAAAGCGAGTTACAGTAGTCCAGCCGGGTTGTAATAAATGCATGGACTAATTTTTCAAGGTTGGATCTGGACAGGACGGACTTGAACTTAGCTATCTGCCTTAGCTGAAAGAAGCTTTTTTGAAGAACAGAATTTATCTGCTTATTAAACTTAAAGTCCGAGTCTAAAACTACCCCGAGATTGGTAACAGACTGTTTTAGACAAGGCTGAAGGGAGTCCAGGTTTGCAGGATCAGTGACAGTGGCAGAGCTAGGGTTAAACACAATGACCTCAGTCTTCTGATCATTAAAACTCAAAATGTTCGCAGCCATCCAAGTCAATGCTTGATGGCTGACAGAAGAGTCTTGGCTTGGTGCTGGGTCTTGGGGCCTGGTTATGTCCCTGAGACAAAGCCTAATGACTTGTCCTAGTGACAGGTAAGGAGCCTGGGCTATGCCAGGTAGCCTGGTCTAATGGCTGATGGAGAAACTCAGCTGGATCCAGCATCTGATGGAGAAGCCTGGGCTAGGCCAAATACTTGGGCCTGGTGGCTAAAAGAGAAGTACAAATGGCCCAGAGGCTGATGGACAGGCCTAGGCTGTGTCAGGTAGCTGGGTCCGGTGGATAGTGGAGAAGCCCAGCTTGGCCCAGTGGCTCAAGGAGAAGCCCGAGATGGGCCAGGTAGCTTGGGAGGTAATATTGCTGTTCACAGACTTGGATAGGAAGTGTGTGTGTGTGTGG